ACTTTTGTTGCAGAGTTACGTCTAGTGCAAGCAGCACTAACCATGCTTATATGTCCTGCAGCTTTACAGACACAGCTAACTAGGTATTTGTGTAGCCTTTTATTGCAAAACACACATTTACTTAATATTTGAGTGGTAGGTGTGGCTGTCAGCTTAGTACAACCAGGAGCGCCTTGGCCCAGTGCTTCTCAGCAATCATAAAAGTTGCCTCCTCAGGTCCCTTGGGGAGGACATCTCTATGCTTTGCATTTGTTTTCTTTCTATTTAAGCTCACCGACATCCATTTACTGACCTCACTGATTTCCACATCTCATTTCTTTTTGCATTTTGTAAATAGTTCATTAAAACCTCTCCCATTATTCACCATGACCACAGGAAATTATACCAAATAAACACATTAATGAAAGTCTATTTTTGTTTTATTGCTTCTAAGCACACAAGGTAGCATAAGGTGACTGAATGGAGCATTTGTGGATCATGTTGTCCACAGATTGGGGAAGTACTGGAATAGATCGCTGCTCCACTGCATTTCCCAGTCTTTCAGGTGATTACTGGTGATATACACAGATCAGCCATAACATTGTGACCACCTGGGCACCGTTAATGTTATGCAGTCCCATATGCAACAAACTGCGATGCACTGTGTGTTCTGACACCTTTTATGTCAGAACCAGCATTAACTTTTTCAGCAGTTTGAGCTACAGTAGCTCGTCTGTTCGCTCCCCACGTGCAGTTTTGGAGATGCTCTGACCCAGTCGTCTAGCCATCACAATTTGGCCCTTGTCAAAGTTGTCAAATCCTTACGCTACTTCTTTTTCCTGTTTCTAACACATTAACGTGAGGAAAAATGTCTACTTGCTGCCTAATATATCCCCCCCCCACTGACCGGTGCCATGATAACCGGATAATCAGTGTCATTCACTTCACCTGTCAGTGGTCATAATGTTATGGCTGAACGGTGTACAGTGGAAGTGTCTGGGAGTCCATTCAGTGAAAACTGCAGCATAGGGTGCCCAGTTAGCTCAGTCAGTAGAGCTGGCGACCCATGTACAGAGTTGCTGCAGTGGCCCAGGTTCGAATCTGACCTGCGGCCCTTTGCTGCGCGTCCTCCCCTCTCTCTCTGCCCCCCTTCCTTGTCTATCTTTGGCCTTTCACTATCAATAAAGGCAATAAAAGGCCAAAAATGGAAAAAAAAAGAAAACTGCGGCATAGCATGGCACCCCTCCTTTTGTTGTTGTGCTGCTTGGCTTGTTGTAGTATGAGTTTCAGTGTCTGTTCTCTAGGCACCCCCTGCCAGTTGCCCTTATTTGTCACAAATTTGTGGAAAGCTCCCCCCTCTTGTCTTTTTGCATTATAGTGGTTCTCAGAGGACTAGGTGTAACTGGACCACATATTAACTCATCTTAAGCTGTCCTCACTTCACCATGTTGATGAGGCTTTTTGATGATTTCAAATAATTTTTGCTCATCTCAGGCTTTTACTTTTTCAGTGGAAAAAGTAATATTTACATTTGTACAGTATTATTAGATATTTTGTTTATGCCTTTCTCATTCTTAAACAATCATTCACACACACGCACATGCACACAAAATATTTTTATTTCTTTAAAAGGAATTAAGTCAAATTCCATTTTCAGTGGCAGTCACCTAGCAACAGTGTTCTCACAACCTAAAACTGGATGCCAACTTGGCATAATATGTAGTCCTCGTGTCAATTGAGGGCATCTTTTAAAGCAGTAATGTTACCTTCACTCTTAAGTAAGCAGCTCATGTGTCATCAGTTCGGTTGACAGCTCCAACCGCTTAGACCTTGACCAAGAAACCCTGTGGGTATAGCTTTGCCAGCTCTGGTTCTCGCTCCCATCCACAGATATCACCAGGGGAAATATCAGAATGTTATTTTATTTTCTCACACATGAAAATGGATCATTCTTTTTCTATAAAGCTTATAAAAAGCCCTGAAGCCGTGAGAACTCTTTGCCACAATGTTGAAAACAACTCGAGGAGGGTTGCCGTGTTTAATGAGGAACTAAGTGTTTGCTCACCGATCCTGCAGCACCTATGCCCTCTGCCTTTTAATGATGCTTGAGTAATCATAGACAACACTGTATAGTTTTATGGTCTTAATCCATCACCACCGACTATTTTAGATTCTGGGGAGTACAAATCAGTTTTTTCCCCAAGTCTAGATGGCAACATGTCCGTTTAACTTTCGATGTAGATGTGTCTCCCATAGGTTGAAACTGAATCCCACCGATAACAGACTGTATTAAACTTACATTTAGATGGTTTCTTATCTCAAATTTGATCACTGTTCACGAGATAATAACGCGTGGCCACAAGATGGTTAATGCGTGGCCACGAGATAATTATGGCAGTCATTTCCATGCAGAGACTGTTGATTGTTAACATGGACAAGTTTGAATTAATTTCATTGTATTTTAATATAAGAATGAATTACAATGACATACTTCAGTCATTTGCGGTTAGGCATGGAGTAATTCTTAGCAAGACACAACACAACACAACACAACACAACACACAAATGAGACTGATTTGCGGACTTCATAATGTCTTCTTCGAGGGGTTTGCAGCTTTCCGATGACGTCACTTCATAACGTTCCCATGGCAACAGGAGGAAAATATTTCATATTTCGCGCATTTTGCGCGGAAGTCTGTGATTTATGCGACGAAAGTGCGGCGTCTTTGAAAATAAATATATGTGCGGACTTTGTCTGATTATGCGCTGAATTATGCGATCCCATAATTGCGTTTTTCTGGAGGGACTGTATTTAGCATTACCAACAGTGACATGTCCGGCTTCACTTAGACGTAAGCTCCTCCAGCCCGTCATAGCATTATTATTGACATTACACTCGCCATGACAATAATAACAAAGCTACTCTTGAATACAAAAGCAGACACTCACTAATACTACCCATAAAAAACCCTCCTTAGACGTAAGCTCCTTCAGCCCGTCATTGCATTATTATTGACATTACACTCGCCATGACAATAATAACAAAGCTACTCTTGAATACAAAAGCAGACACTCACTGACACTGACAGCTCCATATGGATAACCATCCCGCTACTGAAGGTGAATTATCTCGTGGCCACGCATTAACTATCTAGTGGCCACGCATTTATTTCTTTTTTTTATCCAATGTCACCAGGGGGGCTCTGTACTGTTTGTGCTCCAGGAGACGTTTGAAAATGTCTGCACGTCTGCTTGTGTTTAGAGGGCTCATAAGTACTGTTGGCAAAGCAGACGTAATTAATCTTTTTGTGAAAACTTTATCATGAAATCCTTATCACACGATTCTTCTTTGGCTACTGGCCCATACAGGTCACATATAAGGTGAAATTCAGAGAGGTTAGGTTGTAATCTGAATCATAAACTCTGGTGGTGGTAGTCATTAGTTTTATTTATGTGCTTAAAACTCTATTTGTTCATTAGTACATTGTTTCAAGAACAGTAATAGATCCTAAAGAACCAGCTACATTTGAAGAACCAGTGAAAAGGTTTTAGTGGCATCTAGTGGTGAGGTTGCAGATTGCAAACAACTGAATAGTGTTCGCTTTGCCAGCTGTAAATAAATAATAGCTCATTCTAATGGAAATAGATCCTCCTAAAGGTTATACACTGGACATTTAAACCTTTAGGCATAACAGGGTTCTGGAGTTCTGGCTTGTTATGTGAGCTCACATTTTCCGTTTTCTCTGAAGCTACAACAAGGCCTCTGTAAATGTGACAGTTTACCATACACGTAAAAGCAGTGGGTTGAACTGAACAAAACCTTTGTCAGAGATGTCACTAACCTCCTTCGAGGACCAAATGCATCTGACCTTTTCCATCTATTTCTAGGAACTGCGGTAGTAATAGATGCGTCCACGTCAGCCTTTGACAGTGTTTGTGTTGGCAGCCAGTTCCTCAGCCGCATCTGTTTCCGCTCTGTTTTGCACTCATCACTGATGTATTTTAGTGGTTTACTCCTCACATGCTGCTCTGTTCTTTCAAAGGATTAATTTACTCTGAGGAGGAATCACAAAACGAGGGAACAGTTTTTTTTTTTTAATAATGCGTTTTCTTAAAGCTGTTTTCCTTTGAATGTTTTAAGGATTGTTCCCTTCTGTTCTCACTCCTGTTTGTCTTTGTCTGTCCGTTTGGATAGTTACAAAGATAATTCCAGAACTACTTAACCGAATTCATTGACATTTTGTCAAATATTAAACCCTGACCCACCAAACTTTTTATTCAGTTTCACATATGATATTTGACATATTTGGACGAGCCTCCAAAACTGGTGTGAAGCCAGTGAGGGATCATGTCCTTGTAACTCCACTATAGCTCCACTATATATGTAACTCTCACTGGGCTGCTTGCATAGATAGAGTTGTATAGCTAGAACATCCAATGTATTACACCCTCCTTGTGAAAGAGATGCAGCTGGAGAAATCATGTCTCATGGAGCTAGTGTAAGTTAGCAGTGTCAAGGACTGTGAGTAATCTAAATTGGGAGAACATTTGGGGAGGAATTTGTAAGAAAGTCTATATAGTCTATAGCCATGCTTGCAGATTCTTGAGGCTGTACTTAGGCATAGCATTGCTTTGAGCTAAATGCTAATCAACACGCTGAAATGCTCACAAGCTGACCATTAACAGGTAAAATATCTACCATGTTCCCCAGCTTAGTTTAACATGCTAACACTTGCTTATTGGTACCAAATTGTGCCCTATAATCTTACCCCAGTAGCACTATGGAGCTGTTTTTCTATGAGTGGTTCCCAGTTTTGTTTTATAGGACAAACGTGCATGGAGCATGCATTTTTCATTATTAAGATAACAGATTTTGAGGATTTTGTGGGTTCTGCATTGCAATGCGTTTTCATTTTATGAGTAAGTAGTTACTTTTCATTGGAGTCTTTAAGACTCAATCATGAGGTGCTTCTTATGTACACAAATATTGATGAAAAAAAAAACAAAGTGACAATTGAAAGTCAAATGTTTCTTCTTTTATAACAGTGTATATGACTGGGAAGAGTCCTTGCCAGCTCTTCATTCAAGAATCATGGGTTCCATTGTTGTATTTAAGAATAACTTAGACACTTGTAAATAGTCGATATTTACATGTAAAATAAATACATCTTCAGGAATTGTATGCATATATATTTTTATGTGGTCGACTCAAACGTACATGCAAGTCTACAACAAATAATGCATACTCAACACTGTTAAAGCCCCTATTGTTTTTTTTTCTGTGACACGATTTTTGACATGTATGACAGTTAAGGTTATGACACCAGACTGGCCAATCTGTGCCATAATAAACCCTTGTCAATGCTGTTTAAAATTTAAATAAATCTCTCAGATTTGTGGGTCGTTCCAATGCCTTTTAAGTTATAAATTCACAAAATTTAATGAATACGTTGAAAAGTCGGATTTAAGGGAACAATAAGGACTTATAAAGTGCTGAATATCTAGATAACAATATTCTTGTATTGGTTAAGACATGTATGCTTTTGTTTAATATAAAAAAGCATTAAGAGTAAATATAATCACACTTTGATTGCTACATTCAACTAAATGTATATATTTAGGAAACTTAAACATTGCACACCAACACCAAATCCACCATCACATCCGTCTTATGTCTCAGCTTAGTGTAAGTTAGGTGAATACCAGTGTTTTGTTACAGTGAATAATAACTTGTGGTTGAAAGTATTAAGTGTTGACCTGGAAAAACAAGTACAAAAGAAAAGTACATATAACGTCAGATTTATCAACTGTGAACATTTTGAATGCACTTATGTGACTACAATGCCGCTATTTCCTTGAATTTCCTTAAACCTTGAGTTTAGACTTTGAATATTATGTGCTCCATGGTTTGTAATTAAAAACACCATGACACAATGATTCTCAATAACCAGTATTGGCATTGTCTAGTGCTGCAACCTTGCAAGTTCTGTCTCCCATGTTTTTTACTGGTGTATTAAAACCAGCACTAAAACCAGGTCTGGACCTTTTTAGTAACTCGGCATGCATGCATAAACCTTTGGTATTATCACACGGGAAACAGACCTTAAAATCACGGCTCTGTTTACTTTTTTTTTTCTGAGATTCCCTCCTACTTGATTTTCCCATCTTAGCAACTTGCGGTTTAGTGGTAGCCAAGGAGCTCGACCACTGAGCCAACCAGCCAGCACTGTTCTCAAGGGTGGCTCTCACAGGATGCATCGCAACCAAAGGGGGGTTTTGGTGGAAATCCAAACTAACTGTCTATGTGAGTGTGAGAGAGTGGAAGAAACAAAAGGAGAGTTACATAATAATCATTAGTCACTCATTGATTATAGAGGAGGGTCCACTCTGTTACAGGTCCTTTTTATTAACAAATGACAAAATATTTGGTCCTTACTGGAAATTATTCAGTGCATCCATTGATTTTTAAAACAACCAGCTAGGGTTACTGTCATTCTGTTTAGAGTTTTGCCAATGGTTTCCCCCCATAGACAGAAAATGTTATAGGTCAAATCATTTCCAAGCACTCTCAAAGGCAGTATTATCTTTGAGTCTTCTTGGGAAAACCACAAATCACTTAAATGTCACTTACGTCTCTCTGAATCAGACTCTTATGTCTGCGGTAGGGAAAGGAGGGTCAAACCTGGGTTTTGTATTGTTTTAGAAGGATTTAACATTTCCGGACATTTAAGGTGTTGCAGAATTGCAAAATGATTTTCGTTTATTCATATTTTAATTTGGTTACTTTAGCTTTAGTTTACAATGTGACCCCTAGCAATAGTTAGCTTTCTATTGAAAACAATCCACATCAATTTTACATTTAGGCATGGCAGGCATAGGTGAGCTAGGTAGTTACATAGGGTGTTGATGACATGACACAGATCAGAAGTTGAATACATTTTGATCGAAGTACAGTAATACAATTGTGAGAAAAATATTAAAAGAAAGAGATCAATCTCTTCGCCAGTGGATTCTGGCCGAGGGCACCAAAGTGGCCAGAATGAACTCATCGGCCTTGCATTAATTTATACTTATGCATCAAAGTGTTATGCTAGCAAACACTGTCTCCATAGGTATGTAAAAGGCCCAGCTGTACTGTGTTACTGCTTTTCAAAAATGTAACTGTAGGAACTCTTCAGGCTGTGCAAACACTACTTGGGATACCTTGTGGATTTCTCAGACCGGATATTGTTTGTTGATAGTGAAAACAAATAGAGCAGGCCAAAGAAAGATTAGTATTCTTCTCTTTCTCACCTAGTGAATCGATTATCATTGCAAACCTCCCCTTTGCTGACATTTTTACTGCTCTTTATCAGACAGTCCTTGGAGAATGCTACATTGCGCATGGCAGTCAATGAGGTCATGGTTACACAAAGCTACAACAACACCTTGATGCACAATTGTGGGTCTGATAATGTTTTCAATTTCATGAGTGTGAGTGTTCATGATGAAGAACTGACTTTGGGTCATAATTGAAAAGATTGAGTTGTATGTTTTTCATATAAACACATTTGCATCTGTTTTGATGTGGATCATGACTTGTGTGTGTGTGTGTGTGTGTGTGTGTGTGTGTGTGTGTGTGTGTGTGTGTGTGTGTGTGTGTGTGTGTGTGTGTTCCTGTATGTTCCTGTACTTCTACCTTTGTGTGAGAACCTGTCAGGTTTTTGGGGGCATTTTTGACACTTGAGGTAATTGTGGGAGACCCTCACTTCTTTAAAAGGAAAACAAATGATTGTTGTCAATGGGAGGTCCTCACTTGTATAGAAGTTCAAATGTGTGTGTGTGTGTGTGTGTGTGTGTGTGTGTGTGTGTGTTGGGTGGGGAGGGAGGGCTATTTCAAAACGCAGTCTTTCCCTTTAGTTACATTCAAAGAATAATTTGAAAATAGAATCTTCTCGCCCTTTACGTTTTGGATATTTTGTAAAATAAAATTCTTCGGTTCTCGAGCTGTCTTACACAGTGGTAGTTTATTAAAAAGATTTAATTAAAAAAGTAATTTCCTTCTATATTCATGTTAGCTAACTGCTGTTTGAAACCTCCCCCACCCCTCCCCACCCCAGCTCCTCAGACTTCTGCTCAGGCTTAGTTGACCAGGAGCTCCTGGTACTGCTCAGACCGGAGGAAACGGCCGAAGGAGTCTTTCTCCATCAGGGCGTGGATCCTCTTCTGGGCCAGGTCAAAGGTTGCAGGGGAGAGATCCACCAGGTTCCTCAGGGTCACATCCTTGGTGAAGTGGTCAATGTTCACCTGTGGCGGGAGGATGACAGGACATGTTGTCAGAAACAACGTGTTGATGGTAAATGTGAAAACTGATGATGTAAGTACGCAGAAATGCGATGATGTGCCTGTAAGACAGGACTCAGGGAAACAAAGAGGAAGCGTATGATTCCACATCATCATAATACAATTTTAGGAAAGATACTATTTTTAACCGCCCAGTTGTTATGATTGTTCCAAATGAAATATAAACATAAACTTCATCAAGTCCTGTGTGATTATTCCAAGGAAAGGACCAACCAGAGCAACCTGATGTTTACAACAACTTGTTTAAAACATTCGGAGACTGGTGGTAATAAGCTAATTCTGAGCTGTAATAAAGCTGTTTTGGTCTTTCAAAGATAAATAATTCCATAAATGTACTTGGATCCTAAGTTTTACTTAACTGAAAAAAACAAGTATCAGCAGTAAAATGTACCATAAATAGTGTTGATGAACTGCAGTCTGAACGTTTAGAAGTATTTTTGGGTTATTTCATGACTTTATAATCAATTGGACCATAGAGAGGGGAGAAAGAACGGGAATGACAGGCAACACGGGTTCCCAGCTCGAAACAGGGACTTTACTATGAACGGTCAGCACCTTAACCCCTGCCACCAGGGCAAGATTCTGCCCAAATGATGGTGCTGTTTAATAGTTTGAACTTGCATTATGTATAATGTCAGTAGGGCTGGGTATCAATTCCATTAAGGTATTGGCCGAAGGAGTGCCAAGTAGTATCAAAACTTTGAAGTACTCCATTGGTATCACTCTCTTATGACTGGTATCATAGTTTTTTTAAATGATACCCAGCCCTAAATGTCAAGCTGTATTTTATTGTTGTAGCTTGTACTTAGATATACTGTTATGGAATTGAAACTTGCAATGGATCACATTAATGTTACCTTGTAGCATTTTTTGTTTTACACTTTCTGGTCCATAAACAATTAAGACTTTGTGAATGTTTTTAACAGCTATTGTTTTATGTGCTCACTATGTCTTCTGTAAATTATCATAAAAATAGCCCAATGTTTTATTTCTGATGGTTTTGTTTCATCCAGTCATCCTGTGCAGAAAATAAATAGTGTGACCATAACATGTCGCTTGTACATTTGTACAGATTAAACAAGCTCATATTGTGTTATTGATGAGCTTTAGATGTGCTAGTAGGCAGAGTTTGTTACCTTTGGACGGAGCCCATAGAGCTGTTAACCATTGTTTACAGTCTTTGTGCTAAGCTAACGGTTTGGTAAATATAAAGCAACCAAACAGAAGAGTGATATCAATGTTCTCATCTAACGTTTGGTGAGAAAGCACACAGGAGTTACTTCAGGTCAGTCACAGTATTTCCCTCCAAAGTGAGCTAGAAGTCCCTAACCCAAGATGGAATTACTGCAGAAAATGTGCTAAGCACGTGTGTGTTTATTACCGGTGTGTGTTCTCGTGCTGTTCACTGGCGTGCAGAGTCTCAGTACATTCTCTGTCTGTTACCTCATCTGTTTACACTCAAGCATGTCTGTATTTCTTCTCTACACATTCGTTCACTGATTAGATAAAGGCTCTCACTCAATCATATGTATGGACATTGTTATACGGGCAGCTTTGCCTCCAACAATTAGTTCTCTTTTATTTTATTTATTTTTATTACAAACTTTTCCAAAAATGCTCTGCTTCATGCATTACCAACATACAGAGGGCATCTTCCAAAGAATGTAGATTTCCTATGTACTCGGCACACATTTAGAAATGTAATCTTAACAAACTTAGTTGATGATGAAAGGCCATGTCTCTGCATATATTAGACTCCTTTGTGCTTAATTGTGGCAGTGCAGAATTGGCACAGAATTTATATTTAAAAAATGAGTGGTCTGTATAAGTAGCAGATTATTGTCAAGTGATGGGTGAACAAGTTAAAGTGACTTTCATGTTATATTAAAGAGAGAGAGTTTGTGATCATGTAAAGCCCACTATGTCTGATTAAATGTGATGATCTCTTTCTATTCCATGTGGAATTGAGCTCATAAAAAAGGGGGAAGTCACAGGAGTCTCTGACCTCTCTGGGTCCTTCAGACTGGATGAAGTCTTCATAGATCTTCTTGGCCTTGGCGGCCATTTTAATGGGGTTCTTGGTCTTCTTGAACTCCTCGCAGGACATCCAAAACTCAATATTCTCATCACTGAACTCAGACTGCAGGAAGCTGCGGAAAGCATTCAAACCATCTGATGGAGAAAGTATGGGGGAGTGTTAGAGAGTGAGAGAGAGAGAGACAGGTATTGATAGGAATAGAATATAGAACAACAAGTGGTTATTTGGTTCCAATTTGTAGGATTTAGTGGCACCTAGCATTGTAGTTGCAGATTACAACCCCATTGCCTCATCCTCCTGTTCTAAACATAGGAAAAACTAGGTGGCTGCAAAATACAAAAAATGTGTAAGGCTCTATCGAGAGCCAGTGTTTGGTCTGTCTGTTCTAGGCTACTGGAGAAACATGGCAGTGACACTGCAATAAATGTGTCATTATATTACTAGAATATACACCAATATTCCCATGTCAAACTATGTCAAAATGTCAGCTCGGCCCATAAATTTTTTTTTTCATTCATATTTTTTCCCAGTAGTGAGGGATAAAAAGGAAAATGACCCTCAGAAAACCACAACAGTAATCAGACCATCTGTTTTCATCCCTAAATTAACAGCTTTCATCCATCCCCAGCTGCTACGATTATTAAACAAAATGCTGTACATATGGCATGACATCAAAAGGGAATTCAAGTTCACAATCTGATGTTTCAGTCATTTTTACCTCTCCTCTGTTGGACTGTATAAAATAAGTACTAGAATATTCTCTGTAATAAATTATGAAATTAAGAAAGAAACTTTTAAAGAATCTGCAAGTCACAAGACTTCAATGACTTCAAACTACATCAGTAATGGAGCCTTTGAGAGAACTGAGAAACCTCTTCTTCCTTAATATCATTATGTTCCAAGTCACACAGGAAAGAGTCACGTATTGTCCATTTTGTTGCATTTTTTAGTATGAGTTTTTTTTAACTTTTTGGATGGACCCAAAACAGAGATCAGGAATAAGTAGATGTTTATTCAAAATACCTAAACTAAGCTTCAGTTTACAAAAACAGACAACCACCTTTTGCACATGTCGAAAACAGTGTGCAAAACAGAAACACAACTTTCATTTGGACAATGTAGAAAGAATGGTGTTTCTCAAAAAATAAGGTTTGATAAAATAACCGCTTATTTCAATGTAGTCCATTGTAATTTAACAAAATGCCTGAAAAAGGTCCCATTGTCTCAACAAGCATGTGCTGCAGATGATAAGCATTCTGTTATGGCCCCAGGCTTTTATCTGCAATCTAGATGGCTAGTTTGGTTCAAAATAGCACCGAGACTCAATCAAGCTGCAGCTTTTTTTTTCTTCCTCTGAAAGCCCTTCAGTACAAGGACACACAAAAGAGAAGCACGCACGCACAAGTACTGATGACAAGCTGTTTTTGTTTCAGAGCTGCAACAACCAGCAGAAAATGTAGCATCATGTTTAGTTTGTTTTTCTTGCATTTATGATTTTTAGAATAAATTACTTTGATGTCAGCAGAGTTCTGCCAGATTTATGTGCATAATTATTTTAGTTTCTGTACGTTTCAATTAACTTCACTGCCCCTCATAGGTTGAACAAGCTGTGTAATCTTTCAGATAACGAAACAATGAAAATTTCTTATAATTAAATGTGTTCTTTTTATCTGAGAGTAAACGTACGTTATTTATTTCCTGTTTCCATAATATACGTTGCATTATGCAATTTTTAAAGGCGAAGCACGGGGGATAGTGCTACTGTATGTCTGAGTGGTAATAAGTCATTGAGAAGCCCATGGGAATTAACAAGGGAGAAGCCATAAAGAATAATGTTAATGTAAAATCTCGTGTAGGTAAATAATCGCGGCACTGCAGTCTGCAGCAACCGTGCAATAAATCAACGCTGGTAGAATCATTTAGACTTCTCCCTGGAGATGTTACCATAACACACATAGCCTCCATGGGCCGATACGCACTCAGATGCATACACACATTCGTGCAGGCATGCAAACACAGGAGAAGCATAAATCTCTTAGCCCTGTGCTGAAGGAGCCACTTAGAAAGGTCTTTTGCCACCTACTGAGGTCTGCAGAGAAAATGCTTCTCCGTTCACATCATCCGGTCAGTAACATGTGTGCGTGGGTCTGTTTTGATGCACAGGGGCAACTTAAGTGACTTATTAGCAAGGGAGTTTACACGTATCGCTAAATACCATTAGCCATTAGAGTTAATCATCAGTCCTGCTGGCTCTCAGGCTTTCTGTTTCTGCTTTCACTTTGTGAAGTATACAGTGGAGCCAGAAGCTGGTGTCTGTGGAAAAACACAATTCCAACCACCATACATATCATTTAGATGTTTTTACAATTAAATTCAGTTATACAGTCGAGACTTATTATATGAACTTGCCAATTATGATAATGTAATGTAATAATTATGATGTACATGATGTTTACATTAGCAAAATACTTTATTGGACAAAGGTGATCCTGGATTACTTCATCCTGTATCAGATAAAAAATTCACATTGCAGTTTGCAAATTGGGATATTGATTTAAAATCTGAGAAATGGCACTAAAATTTAGCTAAGCTGTAGTAGCCTATGAGGCTTAAACCACTCTGGGATATACGTTTATTTGTGTGAGGAGTTTCTTGACATGCAGTTGCACAAAATGAATAACTGTATAATAACAGAATAAGGTTGTGCATAAAGATGTGGACACAAAACTAACTATCTAAAATCTATCACTGATAAAGGAACCCAGCTGAAACACATATGAAGCATATGTAGTTCATTTAAATTGTAGCGACATGCAATGTGTTTGTAGTTTATGGATTTTAATCTAGATATTGAGGTTTGAAAATCTGATTATGTAAAACTGTATAGTTTATTTGTAAACTTTTTAGTATGATTTGAAAATGCCTGTGCTGTTTGTGGTGTGTTGTAAGCCTATGCAAGGTGGGCATACAGTATGTTAATGTGCATGAGACGATAAAAATCATCATCTCCATCATTCAATGAAACAAACAAATGGTCACTGATATCTAACACAGTGTGAATACAAAAAAATAACAAGCACACAAGCTGTATGGTTGTTATGGAAACCCTGCTAGGTGTACTGTACATGTTTAAACAGTCTACTAGACAGACACCAGACCGCAGGGAAGGCATGTTTTAAACCGATGTGCCAGATGTTACATAATAACAAGCCATAGTATGAAATAATGATGCCCTTAGTGTTTGCTTGGGAGGAACACTGCAGAGTTTAAGGAAAAGGCTACCAGAACAGGTGAAATGTGTCCTGTGCTTGGATTTTAACAAGGACGTTTCTTATTGTGGGGAAATAATGGAGCATCATTCTGCTATGTGTAAAATGTTGGTGTGCAGAAATGGCATCTCGTTGAAATTGCACGTGAACAAGCAACATTCAGGTCATGTCATTTCATTGATGAAATCATTTGAAGCCATGCTGTTGTTCTTCTAACTGAGGAGTAGGTTGAAAACATTTTAAAATTAATTTGACAGTGTTTGCTGAAGATTAACAAGTTGATTTTTCATCAGTCAGTTGAAATAGGTCCAATCTGAAGCTCTACTCCTCAGTGTCTCACAGTCACATCTGTGAGATAATCAGGGCAGGATCTAGAGAAATATTTGTGGGGTGTTATGAGTGTGGCATGGAGACTTTGTGGGGTTGCTGAAATAATGCTGATTTGATTGCAGACAGTCACATAAGAGTCACAAATGAAGATATTTGAACCCAAAATCATGACATTATTGGTAAAAGGTGGCATTAGAAATCGATAAATAGATTTTTTTTCCAAATTTTTTTCCAGACATTTTCCCGAATACAGTTTTCAGTCTTTTTTCAGTAAAATTCACTTAGTCTAAAATGCGGCCATAGCAGAGCATTATATTCACATGTTTTGTTTAAAAAGAATCTAAATTAATGTATGAAATTTGACAGCTGGGGTGGCAAGAAATTGTTTAGGCCTGCCCTGGAGGTAATGAGAATTAAAATCCAGCAATTACCCTGTGCTATAAATAATGTTGTGGGGACAAAAATCTGTTCATGTAGTCACTTAATGAGGACCCAGAATCTATATTGGGCCAAAAAGCTGTTAAACTACCTGCCTAGCCTTATCCCAAAAAAACAATGTCTTAAGAGAAATGTTTATAGATTTACCTTGTAGGGTATCATTTAAGTTAGGTTAAGCTTCCAGGGAAAGAATGTAAGTTAATTGTGCCACTTGCTGTGGGTGCATTGCAAGTGTTTGTGTGTCAGTAAGTGTCAGTAAAAGTGAGAGTAAGAGAGGGTCAACCTACAGCTGTTGTTCAGGACTCGGTCCAGACTCTCACGCCACTGAGCAGCCTCCTCAGGAGAAGGCCTGTACACAAAAATCGTCAGTTTAGTCAGGAAGCTTTAAACTGGTTAAAAATATTTGAAAACACAAGCGAAAACACAGAATTTAACCCCATCATTCTTAAAGGGGAGAGTGGAAATACATTTTTTAAAGTTAAAGTTCAAGTTTGACCTGAAGTTATTTAAGTTGCTGATACAGGACTGTTTTCAGCATAATTTAACACCTACCAGATGGAAATACACTAAACTTTAAAATGATTTATTTGTGATGACCAGTTTGACAACAAGAAGATTCTGAGCAACCCATTTCATTTTATTGGACACATTCTCTCCATGCAATGCAATCTTTTTGACTTCTACCATAAACAGGTCTCTCATTACAATATACAACATTTTTTCACCATGAGCAAACATTATGGGCTCTACATAAACTCTACAGAGTGAAACCTGTATATGTGTCTATTGCTGAAAAGCTTCAAACAACAAGCTATAATAATCCAAGACACATTTGATGTAGGTTTCTAGTCTCACAAAGCAAGACTGCATCCTTTGATCTCAGTTTCCGCTGTGAGACTTAAGTCTGGAAAACATCCACTGAGAATAGATTGTGTCTGGTACATATATCAGACCAATCACAGGGAGAATTTAGACACTGGACTGAAACTTGAAACAATTTGAAGGAGTCATGATTCTGGAACTGCATGTCCTTCCTCTCACCTTTGGGAGAAAGTTTCCAAAGCAGCTAAAACAACAGACCTATCATCTATTATTGATTGTACAGGCTTCCTAATATAATCTAAAGCAAATACTTAATGAACACTGGATTGGCTTTGCAACGCTATTTATAGTCTAGCTTCTCACTGTGGGGCTAAAGTGTGGCACATATCCTCAGCAATCATAAATAAAGACAAGTCAAACATATAAAATAAACTCTGTTAATGGATAACAAATTTAGATGCTAAGGCTAATACAAGTTATCAACATTGCAGTGGCAGGAGAGTTATAAAGAGTGATATATATAGTCTCAATATTGAACCACATCTCTCTAAAGGGAACACACAGAATACGGCAAAGCAAAATCAAACCTTCAGCTTAAGCCTCACTGACTTCTCTTAAAACTGCACTGGGGGGACTTTCTTTAAAATTCCACCAAACGTCCAATTTGAACAATTTTCATTGTATTGACAGCAAAAATCAAAGCCAGACAAAATCGGATACTTTCCATTTACAAGATTTCTCTACAAGTATATGCTATAACAAGAATAAAGTAAAAGAAAAGTAAAGTAGTTCAATACCTCATACATAATTCATCTCTAACCCAGTCTTTTCAAGGTAATGCGTAATAAAATGGAAGCATTAAAAGCTTTGTACCATCTAACACCGACATCTGAGCCCTTTCAGTGTCTGGAGAGGTTTAATGTCCTTTGATCACCACATCTTGTACCTGCTCGGAGCTCTGCTCTGCCACTTAACCATCATTTATCTGGTTAACGAACATCCCCCACCTCCACCGGAGGCGGAGAAAGAGACTCACTTTTGCAGCTTCTCCGGCTTCTTCTCAGTCTTCTCGGGGTAGGGGATGATGAGGTCGATGGCATTTTCTGGCTTTTGCAGTAAAACTCCCAATTTCGTCTTGATCTCCTTAGCCCTGGGTGACGGAAAGCAGAAGGGGAAGAAGGATTGCGTGAATTGCGAGTCTTTGTTAATAATATTCTAGTTATGTTTATTTAAGGTTTTAATGATGGGGAGGTTTTATCATCTTCTCTCCAACACGACTCCAGTATATTGCATTTAAAGACATAATATTATATACATAAGCACGGCTGATTCATACAATTTTTAAATGTAATTTTTCATACAAAAGTACAAAAGCCCTTTAGAAAGTTCTTTAGAAAAGAGGTTTCATGTTGCTTTGAATAAAGAGGCAACAGAAGTGAAAGGTAACAGTTAAAGTTACAAAACAAACAAAATGAGAATATTTTGACATTTTCAGTTTTTTACTCTTAATTGTTATGTTACAGTAAATCTCTAAAACAGAGGTCAAACTTGATCAGAAGTGCTATAATTAATTTAGTTACAGAGTTACTCTAGACATTATCTGTAATGTAAAAATGTTACATGCATCACGTTTTAAAACCAATACAAACCAAATGTTAAAAATGTTTGATGTTTTATAGTTATGATTTGATCTTTGTAAATTTGGGTAAAATTTTCATCAAGTTTCATTAAGTTTTTCTTCAGCTCTGGGTATAGAAACGTCTCTGACTTCCCCCTTAGGTTTGAGTGCGTAAGCAACACAATCAATTTCTCTGACTCTCTTGAGTAATATGCAAAACCCCCCAAAACAGCAACAAAAAACAAAACAAAAAAGAATTCAATATAGCGTAAAACTGGAATAACACAGATGAAACTGCTCTTCAAGTCAAAAGTTCTGTTCAGAAAGGATTTCCAGCAAACAGAACTTCATTTCAGAAAGTAAAATGTTCACAAAGATGAACTTTAAGCCTTTAAGCTCTTCCAGATAAAACTCTTCACCCGAGAATGACGGCAACATGGATTTACAATTTCTGTTTTCTTGCTGCAGACAGTACAGGCAGAGCCACTCTTAAATGGTTTGAAACATAGTCCAACATTTTGGGATCTAAACCACATATGAGGAACACACCGTTAAACAGGAAAGGTAATGTGATGATGCAGATCTTACCTTTCCAGGCAGGTTTGCGGTAAGGCAGCTAATCCTTTACACATTTTCCAACACTTTCAATTGCAGTAGTTATTAGTGATAGTGATTTCAGTCTTCCTGTTAGCTGACTGTAAGTCTCAGAGTCCCTTTTGCTTTCTGACTCTGGCTTTCAGCACATGGGGAGTTTTATACAGACGTCCTTTGGGCTTTGGGCCAACAGCTAAGCCAATCAGACTAGAATGTGTACAGTAGAGCACGGGCAGCCTGGCTGAGGGAGGGCGGGTTTTCAGATGTGAATGGTTGTTTGCTTTGAGGTTTCAATTAACCAACAGATCCAGCATCAGTGTGAAGGATGCAGATTGTGACCATTTTTCCTTATTTTAGATTTTAGTGCACTTTCTAAATATTTATGTTAGGTGCTACTGTATTTATCATAAAGTTTATCTCAAAGTGCATGGTTAAAGTTAGAAATATTACGATTCCTGAGTTCTCAGTACAACTTTTAAAATATAAATATAAAGAATAATTAAATCCTGAGCTAGAAACCTAAATAAATAACAAAATAATTTCAATGTTGTCCCATTGTAAATAACCCCTATTATGTGCCAGTGCTCATCAACACCTACAGCACGGGTCTTGGCTAGTGCAAATACTGCTACTATAACTGCTACTATAATAATTGATTATATTTGAAAATTGTGTTAAAAAAGAGCCAACGTTCACATTAGAAGAATGTAATAGTACAAAATGTATATCTTAAAATTGAATATTGTTCTTAGGGAACTAAACCCACATTGTAAGGCCAGTGCTCATCAACAGCATTTAAGCATCAGCTCTGGGCAATGTGCAAAGGAACCTGCAATTGTAAAATCAGTCCTGAATGTGTCCTTTGGGACATGATTGTCCTGAGATGTTTTGATGAGTGTTCTCTCCAGAGGAAACAGTGACTGGAAGAGTTAAAAGCAGATCAAGGGAAATGTTGAGGTTTCCATAGTGATCCAGAAGCACTTCTATGTAAATGTAATCAAGCATCTCTCTTGGGGACCAATATACATGATCAGGAAAAGCATTGACCACAGCCATGACCTCCAGAACCAAATTCTAGGAATCCATGTTGAATAGTGTTCTTTACAGTTTCTCACAGTTGTCTGAAAGTTTACCACTGAGTAGTCATTGACATATTTTCTTATGGGAATATGAAACCATAAAGGATATAACCATCATTTGTCATATAAGCCATTGAGGGCTGTGTCCACTAGATGCAAAAAAACCTCTCAGTTGCTTATCCGGAGTGAATTGCGTTTCTTGTCTGCCCTCCTACAGGAACTGCCAGGTTTTTTTTTTTTTTTTTTTTTTAAATATTTTTTTTTTTTTTTTTTTTTTTTTTTTTTTTTTTTTAATAAATAATTTAAAGGGAAAAATTTCCTTTTCCCTTAAATTTTTCAGATTTACCCCCTGTTTTTTTTTTTTTTAAGTTTTTTTAGGAAAAAAGGGGGGCTCTGCAGGATCTTGCTGATGTGGTTAATCTGATACACATATACTAGATTACAAAACTCCATGTCATGAGTTCACCCTCTATGTATGTTGATCATATAAAACATTTGTATGCCCCCTCAACACATGGTTCTTTTTAGCTAGGTGACATATGCCAATCACTATTGTGCTGCATACAAAATGTTTACTTTGTCTTCTCCTTTTTTTCTCATGTCCATGTCATAGTTTTCCTTTGGCAATGTACTTTTCTTTTTTCACAGAATTCTGGGGGGAAACTTTATCTATTATTTATTAGGTTTTCTCCTGAGATGTCATTGCAAATGGTGCATTAGTTATTTAAGGGCAAGAGGGTTGGGGTCATTGCAGTTGCCACATTTTAAGAAGTTTGTCAGCCCTCGCTGGCCCCCTTGGCCCCAAGCAGTTGCCTTCCTTGCCTGTTCACTAGCAGCACATCTGGGTTCAATACCCAATACTTTATAGGCTATCCTACCAAGCAACTTAAAGTTTGCGATTAGATTGCCTTCATGGTCAAAAGGTTACTAAGTTGAGCCGGGCAGACAGTGTACAGTTTTACTAACCTATGTTTCATTAACTCACATTATATGGTCAATACAGAGACACAATATGGTCAGCACAGTTTGGTTATTATATTTCACAGCCCAGTTTTATTTCAGACTACAGCAGTCACACCATGAAAAAAACTACTGCAGTATAATTAAAACAGTATATACAGAACTTTACAGAACGCAGGAACTTGTGAAATAGAACCATAGAACTGCTGAAACTGCAGAAAGCCGAGCAAAACTTACATTTTCCGGCATTTTTATCCCTTTATTAGAGATTTTGGCAGACGGGAGATGACAGGAAATGAAACGAGAAAGATGGGCAACAAAAGTCCCCAGGCGGACTTGAACCAGGGACATTGCAGTTCAAAGAACATCAAACAACAACATCAAACTAAACATCAAACCACAGCCGATCTGGCATAATTTTGTTCCGATTGGCAAATTTGTTGAGGTGGATGAGTTTGGGGTTGAATCAGGCTTAATCTATACAGTCTCTGTCCATTACACGCTTTGTAAATTCAACCATTTAATCTCTCCGTCTACCTCCAAGAGGTTTTGCAGTGGTTGACAACATCATGCTACATCCACCTTTGAGAGAGCACAATTATTATTTGAACAAATGCTCCTCTAATGCTCCTTTTTTCAAATAGCTGCACATTGGAGTGTTTTTAACCTTGACATTTTTATTGCATGTTTGGAACAACCAGATGAACACAGTCTGACATGTGCTCTTTATTGCTGTCATCTATCTGTCTAGAATGTTGCTTTTGAGGGTGACAGCTGTCATTATTAAGCCTTTAATTGAAAGAGCTGTCCGAGGTCCTATTCTGATGACGTCAAACACATCTCATGCCATTAAGCTTTCCTGAAGTTTTTCACCTTTGTATTCTAATTCATATTATTCAATATTTTTCATTTATTATTTCAAGGTCTTAACAATCTAACTCAGCCTCCACACATGTGTATTTAATACAATAAGAAATTCTGTGAATTTTCATTCATTCAGACTAGTCACATGGAAAGAAGAGTTACAGAGATGACAGATGATGAAAGAGCTACTGTAAATGATGTTGCTTTGTTCAAAAGTTGACATGGATTTTTTTGCTATTCTGAGCTGGATGCTCTCTCTCATGCTCTCTCATTTTTTAATATGTTATGTTATACTCACACAAGGCAGAGAGCTCACAGCTAAGCTCGCCAACTCTCTCAAACATTTACTGATTTATAATGTATATTGAATTTCCTCGTTAAAAGCTGCTTTGTTTAGTGTGGAGACAGGTTTAGTTTTACTAATTTCAAAGCACATGGGTTTAATGTTTTGTTGACTCATGTTTTGTGACAGTTAATCAAGTAAAACAAGCAAAGCAGTTATTGCATTTCATTAGGACTGCTTAGTTTTTATGTTCATCCCATTGCTTGGTACTGTCATTACACAACAAGTCATAACAAAGATAAAAGTGAAAAATAATGATTTTCTCCCAGTTTCTATGGTGATCAAAACTCTAATCTGTAGCAGAAGTTATTAGAAAGCAATTCTGAGGTATCTGATATTATAATCTAAGTATGAGAAAGCTCTTACATCTACTTTATTAAGCTCAACCCCATTAATCTTGTGAATGTATTTAATAAAAATGTCTTGGACAAATTTAACGCACATGACTCACTTAGTTGTCAGTATGGCAACAGGTGGGTTATATGGATGTTTGTAATTCAGCCGCTCAACACAGGCAACTGAGTACATATGCACTGACCTACTTTTGGGAGGAGGTGGAATGATCAAAGATAGCTGCTGCAATTAGCGAACAATGTATTTTCCCAGCAGAGATCAAGACTTTAATAGGCTGCTTTTGACCTTGTGATGTTGAACGTCATTGCTTGTTTAAAGGCTAAAAAGATTTGTCATACAATCCCAAGTTTTAAAAAAGTATACAAAAGTTATGTCTTTATCACATTTCCCATCAGTCAAGAAATTAGTTTATACTCTTTGATGCAGATAAAAAAAACCCATAAAAATAAAAAAACAAATTCAGAAGATTGTGCCCCCTTGTCTTATTCTGTGAGAGCTTGATGTTGCGCAACCTTTGTATATTAGATTTATATATTACTTGATTGCAAGAGCAAATATATTTTGAGATATAAAATGCCTCCCAAATTACATTTATCAACATAATGTTTTAAATCAACGTGTTGTATGTAACGTCAAATGACATATGACCACTGGGTGTACCAGCGACAGGACCTTTGCTGTCATGGTAACAATAATAAACATGGTCACAGTCTGGTTAGTTTTAGGAAAAGATCATGGTTTGGGTTAACATTCCCGAAAGTTAAGTTGTGTATGTAAGTTAGTTTGCGTCACATATGTAACGTAATCTAACAAGTCAATGTCGACTTTTGGTTTCACATGGCACATGAACAGCGGTCTCAATGGTGGAAGTCCTGTGTTTGACCCATCCCTGATCCTGACCTCCTCCCTATGTGGACTTTTTACACAACCTCACCTTACTTCCTCCTTTGCTTCCTCAAAATTACTACGGCCACTACAGGTTGCTGCCTAAGAATAAACAAATATATGGGCTGTAACAAGCTGCTTGCACAGACAAACTACTGTATACAGCTGTATAACTGCATGGGTTACTTCACTTGACTAATTGATGTAAACATAGGGTGCTAAACAAGTACAGAACATTGAAAGTAAACACTTCTCAATATTTGCCTGTGAGGAACCACATTAGATGAATATCCAGATATATGAGCCAGAGCAGCCCTGGAAAATTCTAATTTCACACAGTTTAACACTGTTACACAAATAAATAAACATTCCTTGTACCAAAGAACATTTAGACCATTGAAAAGGAGACATGAGCTCCTCGGATGAGCCTGAGGCATACTTTCAGTCCTGTGCACCCAGTGAGGGATCAATTTGTTGGCACAGCAATGTATTCAGAAAGCACACATCAGTACCATGCTATTAATGTCCTTGTTACAGCCAGACAATAGGGGCCTGGCAGTTACATAAGTGCTGCACTTAATGAAACTAACTTGACTTTTCTTAGAATCAGATTTTGTTATCAGCCCTGGAATAAAATCC